ACCCATTAGTGCGGATTTCACAGACTATCACTGGAAGAAATACGTTTACAGGTAAGCAACCTATATTTATTTTATATACGTGTATACCTGAAGTCATGCAAAACTTTCTCAGGCAGAAAGGGGTTGTGGGTGGAAAACATTTAATAAGCCCTGATCTAGAGCAAGGGTGGGCAACCTAGGAACCCCACAGAAAACCTTGGGGAATTGGATATGCCCTGTGAAAAAAAATCCCCATTTTCTAGGGGCTTACTGGATCATTTTACACCTTTGAAGACTGATACATATAAATCATAAAGAGCTCTCGTGGGCTATCCATTCCAGCCCCTGTCAAGAAGTAGGAAAATCACATTCAAAGCACCCCTGGCAGATGGCCATCCAGCCTCTGTTTAAAAGCCTCCAAAGAAGGAGCCTCCATGACACTCCGTGGCAAAGAGTACCACTGTTGAAGAGCGCTCACGGTTAGGAAGTTCTTCCTAATGTTCAGGGAGAATCTCCTTTCCTGTAGTTTGAAGCCATTTCTCCAGGACAGCAGAAAACAAGCCTGCTCCCTCCTCCCTTTGACTTCCCCTCACATATTTATACATGGCCCTCATCATGTCTCTTCTCAGCCTTCTCTTCTGCAGGCTAAACATGCCCAGCTCTTTAAGTCGCTCCTCATAGGGCTTGTTCTCCAGACCCTTGATCATTTTAGTCGCCTTCCTCTGGACACATTCAAGCTTGCCAACATTTCCCTTAAATTGTGGTGCCCAGAATTGGACACAGTGTGATTCCAGGTGTGGTCTAACCAAGGCAGAATAGAGAGGGAGCATGACTTCCCTGGATCTAGAGACTCGACTCCTATTGATGCAGGCCATAAATAGCTGCCGCATCACATTATTGGTTCATGTTGAATTGTTTTCCACAAGGCCTCCCAAGATCTTTTTCACACATACTGCATAGAAAGGGCTTTTCCCCCACTTGTGAGTCCTTTCTGCCTGAGATATATTTACATGACTCCTAGGAATTTAGAGGTATAAGATAGGTATAAAATCAAACCATTACTGATAATTTCCAAGGCTTGGTAAACAGACTGATATTTTTTTTCATGGAGTACAGTTTAAGCATCTTGTGAAGAGCCCACCATAAATGCTGCATATTGTTGCTCACAGATTTGTGTAAACGAGTGGGATTCAGAAACTTTTCACTGTTGCCAATTTTTTCATGAACCCTCCTTTACAACAAGGAAGCTCGCCTTCCATTTTGTAATGCTTCCTCCCTTGCCGTCCTCCTGCTTCCCCAGCCGGAACACAGATGACCATTCTCCAGGCCTGAGTCTTCCTCCAGCGCCCACCACCAGTACAGTGTATCGCCTGGACCGCGTCATCCACAGCGACCCAGCTGGGATCCAGCAGGCCTTGGCCGAGCTTGGGAGCCGCCATTCCAAGCCAGCCTCCTCCCCTGGTCCAGCCCAGCCGCCCTTCCTGGGGTCCAGAAACAGCAATTCCTCTTCCCTCCCCTTGGGACGCTTTGAAAGTAGGAGCAGTGGGAGCACAGGTAACTTGTGATGCCTTTGGACATCCAGCCTTCAGCTCTGGCTTCTCTGGAACTAGACTACCCCAGTCCTCTTTTTTCCCCTTTGAAGCATGGGCTGGGTGGTAAAAGGAACCCTATTTCTCTGGATGGAAGGGAGGAGGAGATGGCAGAAGGCGTTTTGGAGAACCAGCTAGTATGTTTTCCCCCTTGTATGCCATAGCTTATAGCAGGCATGGACAAACTTTGGCCTTCAGGTGTTTTGGACTTCAGCTCTCAGAAATCTCGGCCAGCTTATACCTGGAGGGCCGAGGTTTTCCCACGCCTGTCTTATAGCCTCTGATTTATGAAGCTTCACAGGATTGAGATTGGTACTTGAAGGGGGAGAGCTTCTGGAGGATTCAGAAGGAATCGTGGATCAAAGCTTGGTGAGCTGCTGCCAGCCAGCGTAGACAGCACTGGACTAACTGGAGATTTATGCTCTGACTCAGAGTAAGGCAGCTTTCTTCGTTACTTAGCTTGTTTTGCTGAGGATATCACTTTATTAACTCTTCAGCTGAACCTGCCACCAGTAGCTCTTAAGAAGGCAGGGATTTGGGGTGGGGGGGGAGAGGGAATTTATGCCTTCTGTTGTGTGAACCTAGATTTTTTGGAAGCAAACAAATAACTCTAGAGCAGAACTTCTCAAACTGTTCGTTGTGTCACATTAAGTATGTTGGTTTGCAGTTTGTGAGTGTCACTTGAACGTAACAAGAAATGAAAAAAATGGAAATTCATTATAGTATCTTACAATAAAAAGTGCAAATCAAAGGTTTTTATGATATATGTTGTGGCCCCATACATTTTTTGTTATAATTCATGCATGTGACTGTATATCTTGTAAAGGGTCGGTTTAACCGCTGTTTTGCCAGTTACGGTGTTGCGAAATGGTGCAGTTGTAAGAGTTTTTCAACAGTAGAACTTACTGCCTCAATGCTCCTACGGAGGTTTTAAAGCAGAGACTGCATAACCATTTGCTGGGGGTGCTTTAATTGTGCTTTCCCTGCATGGTGGGGGGTGGAATGGATGGCCCATGTTATCCCTTTCAATTCTGAGTCTAAAATATGTGTCATCAACATGACAGGTTTGGAAAGCTCTGCTTTAGAGGCCGTGTTTCCTCAGGACATGCCTCTGATAGGAATTCAATTGATAGGATAGGATAGAATTGATAGGATTTGACAATGTGGAATGAATTTATGGATTCTGAGCTGGCAAATGTTGAACATTAGATTGGTTTTATTGATTGTTTTAATTGTTTTATAATTGCTTTTGATACATGTTTTGTTTTATTGTTGTTGTTGGCATCGAATTGTGCCTTTTGTAAGCTGCCCTGAGTCCCCCCTCGGGGTTTGAGAAGGGCGGGGTAGAAATGTGTGAAATAAATAATAAATACAGACTATTAGAGTTGCTGTCAAGCGGTGAGGGTCCTTGTGGCGTATGCTGCAGTCGAGTATTTCTAGACTCAGGGATGGAAAATCTTAGGGCCTCCATCCTCAATGAGATAGGTTTCCATGTATACCCCCCCCCCCCATCCCTTTTCCTGTTCCTACCAAAAGATCCCATTTGACCAGAGATCCTGCATATTGTATTCCTCCCATCCAGACTCTTGCTTCCTGGACAAGAACCAGCTGCTCCACTCCAACAGCGGGCCCCTAAAAGACTCTAGCACATTGAGCAGCTTTCCTGCAAAGCAACGGGAACGGCCTCGCAAGCAAGACCTATTGCCGCAGGTACGCTTGTTTTTCCATTGTCCTTTTGAGTGGAATGACGAAGGATTTCTGTTTCCAGTTCTCAGAAATAACTTTCTCCCCTTCTCCCTCTTTCTCAGGAATCCCTGGCCTTCCCCAGTGGCCCAGGATTTTCAGCCCCCAAAGAAGAGGCTCCCGGGGAGCCCCGCAGCAGAAGTGTCCCAGTGTCTGAGGGGCTAGCCCCACAGATTTGGAACCAATTGAATTCTAGTGAGTTGCCTGAAATAAAGAGACAAGAGGGATAGACTCAAAACACTTGGGGGGGGGGGGGGGGGGGAGTGGAGAAAGATATGGTGAGAATGTCATATTTATGCTGGCTGTTAACTGTTTTATGTTACTATTTCTGCATTATTTGTATTTTATGTGCTGCACCTTTGTGTGCCTTGTAAGCCACCCTGAGTCCCTCTGGGAGATGGTGGCGAGGTATAAATAAAGTTTTATTTTTTCTTATTATTATTGCGTCGCTAAAGATGGCCATATTATTGAATGATTCCTCATCCATTCTGAAAATCATCGCTTTGGAATCTAGTGATGGGGGGGGGGAGAGTAAGAGAGGGCGGCTGAACTAGAATTTGCTATTGGGTTGAAAGTTCTTGGGAGGGTGGAGCAAAGGGCAAGGTGAGGCCTTTTGGGAGGACAAGACCCTCATCCACCCTTTGGTTCTTCATCAGACGCCTCCAGGAAAAGCTATAGGCCTGCATCTGTGGAGCCCTGGATTGACCCCTTGAATGCCTTTGAAGAGGTTGCCAGTACAGAGGTGAGGACCTGAGCTGCCACATGTTCTGTTAAAAGGTGGGAAAAACCTGCTCCAGAGATGTTCCCTATAGAGAACAGAACTGGAAAGCCTTTCCATCTGGGGCTCTTCTTTCTGCTTCCAACCCACTTGGATAAAACATTTCTGCTCTTTCCTCAGATGAGCCTCTCCGACAGTGGTGTGGATCTCAGCAGCGATTCGCAGGTCTCTTCAGCCACGTGCAGCCAGCGAAGTTCTCCTGACGGGGGCCTGAAGGCCACACCGGACACTGGCAACAAACACAGTGGAGCCATCGGCACAGGGAGCAGTGACACGACGGTTGCAACTGGACCTGAAGGAGCTGAGCCGAAAGAGCAGAGACGGCGGCCACCACCATCCAGGGACTCCAGTCTGCTCAAGGAGAAGGTACAAAGTAGAGTTGGGCCCAAATCACTGTTAACGAAAAGATTTGTAGTTTTTGAATGGCCATTTCCCCTTCGTGTAGTCTGTGAAAGATGCACATAATGGGTTTTATTATGCGCATGCGCAGCTGTTCGGAACCTTCTAGAATTTAAAATAGACACTTTTCGGCGGACGCCCCGCCCATACTCCCCAATACTATAAGTACCCAAGGCGGGAGCCTCGGCTCAGTTCCTTTTTCCGCCATCACAGCGTTTGGAACCTCTCTAGTAGCGAGTTTTTTTCTAACGGACGGACTTGGTTTTTTGACTTTGGAAATCTCATCGACTGCCGGATTTTCTCCTACCCACGACTTCGGATTGCCTTTTGACTACTCTCAGGCCAGTTTTTCCTCCGATATGAGCACCTCTTTCTTCAAGAAATGTGGCTCCTGTGGCGGCAAGGTGCCCGATTCTGACGGGCACTCCATGTGCTTGCTCTGCCTGGGGGAATCCCATCGCCCTCAATCCTGCCAAGTGTGCTTGGCGTTCACCCCCAGGGCCCGCAAGGACAGAGAGTCGAGGCTTAAGGCCCTTCTCTATGAGAGAGCGCTAGCCCCAAGCACCAGCAGAGCGGAGAAGCGCCCTAACCCTGATGGGCTCTCTAACCCTCAAGAAGCGGGACTAGCTTCCTCCCATCTCCCCCCTCCCGAGAGGGAAGCGGAGGACGAGCCTCAGCCGGGGCCCGCCAAGAAGCCCAAGCCTCCCAAGCAGGGAAAGGCTCCCCTTAAGCATAAGGAAGGGCTTAAAAAGGGGAAAAAGAAGGGGCAACTCGGTGGTAACTTGCCCCCGAGCCCCCGTTCCACTAGGGGCACGGCCCAAGATGAACCAGCCCAAGCCTGCCCCGAAGAGCCAAGAGAGCCGCTGGGGGAAGCTCAGCAAATGGCGACTCCAACGGCCCAAGAGGAAATGGCACTAAACCCGCCAACGCACTCCCCGCGGAGAGCGTTCGCCCAAGCGGCGCACCCTTAGCCTCCCCGCCATCGGCCATGGGACCTCTCTCGCCAAACAACTTACCTGAGTGAGCTCAGGGCGCTGCGGGCTCCTCCACTCCACCGGGATTGTCCCAACAATCCCAAAACTTGCCCTCAGCGATGGCCAGGGAGAGAGAGAAAGAGGGCAGAGGCCGCTCCCAGGACCGCCGATCGCGCCACGTGCCACGGCACCGACGCAGGTCCCCTTCCATCAGCTCTTGGAGCTCTTGCTCCCGAAGCCCTGTGGGAGCCTACTATGAGGAAGATTACTCCCCAGAGCACCACCACTCCAGATATCATAGGGACTACTATGCCCAATACAAGTATGCCATGCCTCACGCTGGGAGGGGCTGCTGCCGCCATGCTGAGTGCTGCCGTTACGCTGACCACCCCCACCCTCTCCCAGGAGCGATGCCCCCCAGCGCAAGCCACGCCCACCCAGAGGCTGCTTCTCCGGCCCCTCTCCAGCTTGGATCCGTCAGCCAGCCCACGAGGCTTGAGTCGGCACCGGTGCAGGCAACTCATCCCAGCAACGCAACAGCGCCACCTGCTGCTGGACCCTCGGCTCCAACACCAAATGGCTCGGCACCGAGAATAGCAACCCCAGAGGCTGATGCAAATCATCTCTCGGGCTCCTCAGATTCAGAGGACTGCCCTCTCTCTCCCTCTGACCCTCAACCTGATTCAGAGGGACTCCCTACAGAAGACATGGGAGGATTCTCAGCTCTAATGATCAGATTGTCTAAGGCCCTTCAACTAACACTGCCAAAACCAGCAAAGATAGTGGAGGATCAGATGTTCCCTTCTTCTAAACAACATGATCCCCCAACCACTGTCCTACCCTCCCCTTTCTACTGCAACTCAGCAAAGCCGAAGGCTTAGCTCCATCAGCGGTGCCTGCAACACCCAGAAGGGCTGAGAATCTATACAAAGTTGACCTCTCCGCTGCCCCTTGGCTGGCCAAACAACCTAAGCCAAATTCTATTGTGGTAGATGTTAGCCAACCTCGACCCTCACAGAGATCTCAAAGTGCCCCCTCTGACAAAGAAGGCAAAAAGCTAGAGAACTTAGGGAAAAAGATCTATGCTTCAGCCTGCCTCGCCTCCAGAATGGCGCACTACGGGGCATATATGGCAGGCTACCAAGAGCACCTATGGAGCAAGGTAGCTGGATACGTGGACATGCTCCCACCAAATGAACAGATGCTAGCAAGAGCGTTCCACCAAGAAGCTTCACTATTGGCCTCCTTTCAGAAAGATCTAGCCAAACATACCGCAGATGCAGCGGGCAAACTCCTAGCAACAGCGGTTGCCTTACGTCGCCATGCGTGGCTTAGGGCCTCAGGTCTATCCCAATCAGCCAGAACAGTAATAGAAGACCTCCCAATGGATGCGGCGGGTCTCTTTAACCCGGAAACGGACTCACAATTAGAACACACCCAGAAAATGAGACAAACGGCTCACAAATATGGCTTCTCTCCCTACCTGTCGCAGCACCACAGACAGTACTGGCCGAATCGTTTTCAGCAACACCGTAGACGCTACAGCCCTCCAAACTTCAGAGGACGTCAACGCCCCTCTGCTCCACCACCACCTACCAGAAAACCGTCTCTGCCATACAGAAACCAGCAGCGTGGTGGAGGTAAACAGCCAGAGCGCCAGAAGCGCCACTTCTAGCCCACGGGCCAGAAGCCAATCGCCAGTTACCTCTTCAGATCCACAGTTTCAAAGTTCCACAGTTGGCTCCGTTGAGCTAAGTTCTTTGTTTGAGGGTTCCTTATCCTGCGATAGTTACCTGCCACAACATTCCCAGGGCACCTTCCGGGACCAGTTGGCCCCTTTCGTGCATGCTTGGAGAAGAATAACAACGGATTCTTGGGTCCTTTCCATCGTGGAGCATGGCTACGCCATAGAATTTGACTCTCACCCCCCCGGAGAGGTATTGAAATTTACACCATCCTCCCCACAGCTGCAAGAGGAAATTTCCATCCTCTTAGAGAAGGGAGCCATCTCCAGAATCCACCCTGCGGAAGCTGGATGTTGCTTCTTCTCAAGATATTTCCTGATTTCTAAAAGGGGCGGTGGCCTCCGGCCCATATTGGACTTAAGAGACGCAAACTTCTTTATAAAGCCCCGCAAATTCCGTATGGTGACCTTAGCCTCCATTCTCCCGCTCCTGAGACCGAGAGCGTGGTTTGTGACGCTGGACCTCCTAGATGCATACTTTCATTTTTCAATAAGAGCAGATCATCGCAGATTCCTCTGTTTTGCGTTAGACAACCAACTGTATTCGTACAATGTTCTCCCTTTCGGACTCGCCTCCGCGCCCCGTGTTTTCACAAAATGTGTAGCAGTAGTAGCCGCCCACTTGAGACAGAGAGGAGTGACAATCTTTCCGTACCTGGATGATTGGATGATTACTTCAGAATCAAGATCTCAGCTCCAATCAGACCTTACCCTCAATCTGTCTCTCTTACAGAGCCTCGGCCTCATGGTCAACTTCGAAAAATCCAACCTGACTCCATCGAGACGCGTTCAATTCATAGGCGCTACCATAGATTCCATCGAAGAGAGGGCCTTCCTGCCAGAAGACCGCTTCCACGCCATCAAATCTCTTATAGACGACATCTGCACGCAAGAGAGAGCCACTGCATGGATCATTCAGTCTCTGCTTGGGCACATGGCCTCAACAACATCAGCCATCATGTTCGCGAGACTAAAAATGCGCCCACTTCAACACTGGTTCCTCGGTGTTTTCAAGCCCCACCGAGACAGCCAAAACACCCAGCTATACCCACCACGGCATGTACTCTCATCCCTCCGATGGTGGACAAGAGAACAGCATGTCCTTGCGGGCATGCCGTTCAGACAACCGCAACCGTCCCGTTGTCTTACGACGGATGCTTCCATGCAAGGATGGGGGCCCCACCTCCGAGACCTGACGATACACGGAAAGTGGTCCCAGGGGGAAGCAACCTACCACATCAACTATCTCGAACTTTTAGCTGTCCAAAAAGCCCTGCGAGCATTCGAGTCCCAAGTCAACGGACACACCGTCCAACTCATAACAGACAATACGAGGGTGAAATGTTATGTCAACAAGCAGGGCGGGACACACTCCTCCGATCTCCTCCACCTAGCCACAGAGATTTGGGAATGGTGTATTCCACGAGGGATCCTCCTCACAGCGATACACCTTCCAGGAGACGACAACACTCTTGCCGACACTCTCAGCCGGACTCAGTCATCGACACACGAGTGGCAGCTCCATCGGGACGAGTTCCAATTTCTAACTCGTCACTGGGGCCGGCCAAGGTTGGATCTGTTCGCGTCACCAAAGAACAGACAATGCGACATGTTCTGTGCCAGACTTCACCCCAAATCAGCACCGGGCTGCATGGGCAACGCCTTCTTATTCACCTGGGCCCCGGGCCTGCTATACGCTTTTCCTCCAATCCCCTTGATCCCCAGAGTACTGGCCAAGATGATCGAGGACAACACGGATGCCATACTAATCGCTCCATGGTGGCCACGGCAGCATTGGTTTGCCCCCCTCCTCAAGACCTCGGGCAGCGAGTATCTCCACCTGCGGGACAGACCAGACCTCCTATCCATCCAGGAGGGTCAGGTGCACCACCCCGATCTAGCCTCGCTGAGACTCACGGCGTGGAGAATTCGGCCCAAGCCCCACTCTCGGAGGAGGTGCAGCTCATAATCGCAGCAGCACAGAAATCTACGACCAAGAGAAGCTTACAATTATAAGTGGTCACGCTTCCTAGAATTCCTCAAACCGCTTAATGTTGACCCTTTGAAAGTCCCAACGAAAATAATCCTTGACTTTTTGGTACACCTCTCCAGCAAAGGGCTGTCTCTGTCATCGATCAAATGTTACCTGGCAGCGCTCTCGTGGCGCTGGAGACAGGCAGGAAGACCATCATGCTTCCACGACCCTATAATCCGGCTTTTTCTCAAAGGGTACGCTAACTTACACCCACCCGTCATGCCTCCCCCCCCAGCCTGGAGCCTGGAACTGGTCCTATCGCAACTCTCCAGACCACCATTTGAGCCAATGGCCACCTGTGATTTGTCACATCTTTCGTGGAAGACCGCATTCCTTGTGGCCATCACATCGGCCAGGAGAGTGAGTGAAATCTGTGCCTTAAGGGTTGATCCACCATACTTACGATTTCATAAGGAGAAAGTGCTCCTTCGACCTGACACTGCATTCCTGCCAAAGGTTGTCTCGAAATTTCATTTGTCACAAGATATCTCACTCCCAGCCTTCTTCCAGAATCCTTCTTCTCCACTGGAAGCCACTCTGCATTCACTGGACGTTAGACGTGCCCTAGCCTTCTACACCGATAGAACGGCTCCTCATAGAAAGTCGGTAAAACTGTTTTTGAAATACCGTAAAGACTCTCTAGGCTTACCTGTGTCATCCCAACGCCTTGCTTCATGGATCGTTTCAACCATCAGACTAGCTTACCTTCTCGCAAAGAAAGATCCACCTCAACAGATCCATGCCCACTCTACGAGGGCAGTGTCAACGTCGCAGGCCTTCCTGAGAGGCATCCCCATTGACGACATCTGCAGGGCAGCGACTTGGTCCAATCCTTCGACATTCGCTACCCACTACAGGCTGGATGCCAGAGCGAGAAAGGATGCTGCCTTCGGTCGAGCGGTGTTGTTTTCCTGCATCGCATGACCCCGCCTCCAAGGTTGGTAGCTTGCTAGTCACCTATTATGTGCGTCTTTCACAGACTACACGAAGGGGAAATGCAGGTTGCTTACCTGTAACTGCGTTTCCACGAGTGATAGTCTGTGAAATTCGCACATCCCCGCSCRTCCTCCCYGCAATGGTCATGCTCGTTTCTACAGCTGCTGATGGCGGCTGCGGAACTGAGCYKAGGCTCCCGCCTTGGGTAYTTATAGTATTGGGGAGYATGGGCGGGGCGTCCGCCRAAAAGTGTCTATTTTAAAWTCTAGAAGGTTCCGAACAGCTGCGCATGCGCAGAATAAAACCCATTATGTGCGAATTTCACAGACTATCACTCGTGGAAACGCAGTTACAGGTAAGCAACCTGCATTTCCACCAAGTTCCAGCTGTGATGSACTGGATGAGGGCTAACAGGTTGACAACTAATCCAGACAAGACAGAGGTCCTCCTGGTCAGTTGCAGGACTGATTGGGGTATTGGGTGGCAACCCGTGCTCGACGGGGTTACACTCCCCCTGAGGGTGCCGGTCCGTAGCTTGGGGGTCCTCTTGGACTCAATGCTGTTGCTTGATGCTCAAGTGTTGGCGGTGGCCGGGAGGGCCTTTGCACAGCTAAAACTTGTCAGTGGTGGCCCCTCACCTCTGGAACGCTCTCCCCATGGAGATAAGACAGGCTCTATCACTCTTTTCTTTTCGTAAGAACTTGAAGACTTGGTGGTTCCACCAGGCCTTTGAGAACAACTAATTACTAGTCCCAGCCCCTGGCCAGTAGTGAGAACTTGGCCTTGCACCCCATCCACGACCCCAGACCTCTGTCATTCCAGGGTACTTGCCCTGGCTGAGACCTTTTGCAGTTCTCTAATAGGCTCCGGTAATGAGTAGCCCCAGGCCCCACTATGGCCATTGTTGGGACCTGGTCATTGCACTTTACCCATTCCCCCGGCCCCCATGTTTTTCTTTGCACTAGCCACGACCTAGCCCTCTTAAACTGCCTAGCCCATTCCAAAATTCTGGCTCCTGACAGCTTATTGGCACGGAAGAATAATATGTGATTATTGTTGTTTTAAAATGTATATGTGTGTATTGATATTTCTATGCTTACATTTTGTTTACACTGCATGTTTACTGTGTATTTTGTTTACGTGGAAGCCGCCCTGAGCCCCCTAGGGGAGATAGAGTAGTATATAAATAAAGATTAATTATTATTATTATTATTATTATTATTATTATTAGTAGTAGTAGTAGTAGTGTGGGGGGCCACTTTAGAAACCTCCAGGAAGATGGAAGAGGCAGCCATGTTGGAAATCCCCAGGAAGTGTGAGTGGCCATATTGGAAACCTCCAGAAAGCGGGAGCAGCCATTTTGGAAACCCCAGGCGGTGGCCATGTTGGAAACACCAGAAAGAGGTGACCATCTTGGAAACCCCCAGGAAGTGGGGGTGGCCATCTTAGAAATACCAAAAAATAAGCGGCCATATCAGAAACCCTCAGGAAGTGTGGGCAGCCATCTTGGAAAGCTCAGGAAGTGAGGGTGGCCATGTTGGAAACCCCCAGGAGGAGGTGGCCATGTTGTAAATCCCCAGGAAGGGGGGCAGCCATATTGGAAACCCCCAGGAAGTGGGGTGGCCATTTTAGAAACCCCAGGGAGAGGAGGTGGCCATGTTGGAAACCCCAGGAAGTAGAGGTGGCCATGGAGGAGGCAGCTATTTTGGAAATTTGAGGTGGAAGCAGCCATGTTGGAAATTCCCAAATGGAGGAGGGAACGATCATGTTGGAGGCCACTGACCTTGCGTAGGGTGCTTTGCTGGCAGTGCTGCTGGGCTCGCTTCTCCTTCTGCACTGTCTCTTTCATTTCTCTCACATTTGCCCTCCAAACACTCAAGGAGTGCCTACAAGACAGCGACACAATGCAATGCTCAGTCCATTCATGAAAAGGCAGTGGAAAGTCCTAAATGGGCCCATTCACGGAAAGGTTCTTTACCGTAGGGCCTGGCGGTGGTGCTCCTCCTCCTTCTCAACCACCTGCAACAAGATCAGTTGGGCCTTCTCCTGGTAAACCTGCGCAACAACAATGAGTACAATGACAACCAATTCCAATATAATAACAATAACAACAATATAGAAATAGTAATATACTATAAGAATAATACAAAATAATATATAATAATATAGATAGAATAACATAATGTAAGAGAAATATAATAAAATATGAAAATAATATATACTATATTATATACTATAGCCGTGGACATCAGGCTAGCCCCCTCCCTGTTGATATTCCGCAGGAAGTTAAAGACCTGGCTGTTTAAGAAGGCATTTGAGCAAGAAGTGCAATGACTGGTAATTTGACCATAGGAATGGAACAACGGAAATGATATCGGATTGTGGGTTTGATGATGAGACGACTCGGAATGGATTTTGTAGTAATGTTGATGTTGATAAGATGTTTTTCTGATAATTGTGGAATATTTTATACTATGTTTGTACTTTGCACTGTTTTCCATGTTGTACACCGCAATGAGTCGCCCTCGGGCTGAGAATTGCGGTCTATAAGCGCAGTAAATAAATAATAAATAAATAAATAAATATAATATGACAGATAAATAATATAGCAAGAATATATCACAATACAATATATATAAAGTAAACGTTTCCCCTTGACACTAAGTCTAGCCGATTCCGACTTTGGGGGGTGGTGCTCATCTCTGTTTCTAAGCCGAAGAGCCGGCATTGTTGGTAGATGCCTCCATGACTGCATGGAGTGCCGTTACCTTCCCACTGAAGCGGTACCTATTGATCTACTCGCATTTGCATGTTTCGAACTGCTAGGTTGGCAGAAGCTGGGGCTATCAACAGAAGCATACCCTGTCCCACAGATTCAAAACACCAACCTTTCAGTCAGCAAGTTCAGCAGCTCAGGGGTTTAACCCACTGCGCCACCACAGCCCTATAATATGTATAATATATTACTATAACAATACATAATATATAAGATAATATTGTAATAAAAACATTAATATAACTAATATAACAATAAAATATTATATAACAATATACAATAGAAATAGTAACATATTGTAATATAATGTACTAACAATATAATATAATAATACCTAAAAATAATATATAATAGAAATAGTAATATAATACTAGCACTACCTTCCACGCAGCAAAGGCCGTTTGGAGGGTGTTCCTTTGGTAGTGCCTCCGGGCGGCAGCCACGTTGTCCCTTTCCTGCAATTTTGAATTATGTGTTTGTTTGTTTACTCTTGTTGTTTCCCCCTTTCCTTCCATCCTTTCCTGCCTCTTCCTGACCTGGATCCAGGCCTGCCAGGCCTTGGAGAGTAGTTTCCGGGAGTGAACGCCCTGTGCTTGGGTCGCTTGCCTTCCCCTGGAAGGAAGGAAGAAAGAAAGAAGGGAAGAAAGGCATGGGCTGGAAGGAAGGAAAGTCGGGAAGGAGGGGATCCCACCATTGGCGGTGACACTACCAGACCTTTCTTGGGCTTTGCAGAGGCGCTGCTTCCATTGGCGGAGGCAGGAGACCAGGATGCGTGAACGGTCACACCCTTCGGCCATCGCCAGGTGGACCTTGGCTTCCCTACACAAAGTGGCCTGCCTGCCCCAGTGCACCCAGCATCCACGCAACACCACCAGCCTCCAATGGGAACACGCCTGTAACACACAAAGGGAGGGAGAGGATTATAACAAATTATTATAATATTATTTCTTATTATACTATT